GGCATTCCAAAATTCTTTAGATAGACATATGTATATATATATATATATATATCCACAGATCAGCAAAATGAAACTAAACCTCACATTTTAAAGTAGAGCGGTAAAGCAACTTTAAGGTCAAAAATTTATTATAGCAATGGAGCAAAAGAGTAGAAGGAAATCTAATTCTGAGGCCACCATTTGAAAAGATATCAGATGAATTGTTCAGCCTCCAAATTGCTTCCAGTGACTTTAAAAAGAAAAGAAAAGAAAAGAAAAGAAAATATAGAAATAAAATAAAAAAGAACAAAAAAAAAAAAAAAAACAAATTGAACAAAATAATAAGCATGCATAGCTAACCATTTGCAAATATTCAAATGCTTTCATATTCAGATGCAATATCAGGGTAAATTCTTTTGGGTGAAGAGAAGGACAAAAAAATACACAATAAATTAAAACTGAAGATCATGCTAGAAAATAAGGAAAAGTAAATCCGAATTGGGCTTCCCAAATTGTAAACAGAATCAACTACACTCAATGGAATGTAAGAATTCACTTGCCTACTATTCCTGGGCAAAGACACACACTCACAAATCGCATTTTTCTGGGCAGCAGAGTGATTCAACCAGCCACCATATTGGCATGGCCAAAGACAAAACTTGGGAAACTTGAATAGTCAAGGACATAGCCCTTGATCAACAGTTTCATCTTGACAAAATGCACAAAAACAATCAAATCAAATTTTCTTTCTGTCTTTCCTCATTATTTTATTTTCGGGAAGGTGAGGTTATGGTCCAGTAGGAAGCAAATGATAGCATGACAAAGTAAATGCATGGAAATTACCAGAGTATGTCTCCCAAGGGTGAATGATTCCATTGTCGTCCATGTCAAAAAAGGCCACATGTTGCTGAAGAACACTCAACCCATAATTCTTATGGCTTGGTGTTCCATTTGGATGGTCTGTATCTGGAGCAGCCAATGCTTTGGCCAAATCTGAATTCATGAATGCCAAAGAGACATATTAGTAGCATAAAGGTGGAGGCTTTTTGAGACTTCATTAGCATAAAGGTGGAGGCTTTTTGAGACTTCAAGAAGAAATATAATTGTATGCCCGTGCCTGAAGGCACAGTCTTAATAATGTTGGGATTAAAATATAATTGTAATCCCAACACTATTTAGTAAATTATCAATTTAATAGAATTGTAATCCCAACCCTTCTATCTTATTATATAGATTATCAATTTAATATAAAAACAACACTATTCTTGGAAAAAGAAAACAGACCCAAGTGGGCTTTTTTAGCAGAGAGCTCTGTCTCTTTTTTTTCCTCTACATCTCTCTCTTCCTATTTGAACTCCATTGTTGCTCAAGTTTGAGCTTTGAATGAGAGTCATAACTTAATGAAAATCACAAATCCAAACCCAAATACACTACCAGTTCAAATATAGATCCGGTTATATCTTGGGTGGATTACAAAGTTCTTGGTGCTTGGATGGGTTTAATAAACAAATGAGCCGTGAGAGAGAGAATGAGATGAGTTTAATTAATTGTGGAGGAGGTGTTGTAATTAATTGTGGAGAATGGAATTCAAATAAAATGTATTAGATTAATTCAAAAATTTGTGAGTTTGGGAGAATGAAATTCTAATAATAACAGTATGGAGCCCAATCTAAATGACCCATAAACAATCTAAAATAACTCTAAAAATGTACATAACCTTGAAGCCCCTTAAGGTTATGAAGGAGATGGACAAAAAGTTCAACATAACATTCTAGTGACAGCAAGTTGCACAACTATAAACCAAATAACAAAAATTTCAAGTTAATATTTCTATTGACCGTTAACGAATCACGACAAATAGGCAATTTCATTAATACAAATACCACAATGAGACTTTAAAAACTAATTTTGACAGTAAATTCCAGTATTCACACTAGCTTTGTTTCAGTCTGGTTAGAAAATTTCCCATTTATTTGGCTCTTTATTGTCTCAAGTTGTGTACAACATAACAAAAACAGAAATTCTAAAAATTACAAAACCCACTACAAATTTTTAAAAGTTCAAAAGCTCACTATTACTATAAACTGAACTAACTATAACTATAACTATAAACTGAACTAACTACACAAAAATCACCTAACTGAACATCTATAAATCTAGAAACAATGAATCAAATGTAAAAGTTAAAAAATGAACTCATCAATAATGAAAATTTAGTGTTTGATTTTTCTTTGGATTTGAATATAGAAATTAGACTTTTCTCAAGTGTACAAAGGTTTTAGAGTTCCAAATAGGAGACATGTTGCACATGATAATACATCTGTCAGCAAATGATCCTCCTAACTGAATCTTTTTATCAAACATTTCATATGCAACCAGTTGTGGCTAATACAAAACACATGGAAGGCCAACTGAAAAAAAATAAAAAAGAAATTAAAAAAGTTAAAAAAAAAACACATAAGAAGAAATTATTTGAAAACCAACAATGAACAATGAGAGCTGTGCTGCCAAATAAACCTTGGAGTTGGAACACATACTTGAGTCCCAGTGGCATAAGTCTATCTGATAAACCATCATCAGGAAAAGTGTTTTGTGCCTAGGCTTAGTTTCTCCCTGTATTCCAATCAATCAATTTACTATCAATGCTGTAATTTTGATTTCGAACAGAATTCTTCATTCAGTTATCTAAAAAATAAAAAAGAGCTAGGAAACAAAAGACAGAAAATGGAGGGGAAAAGGAAAAACAAAGAATAATCAGTGTCTGACCATTGTTAAGAATTGATTGGTAGGTATACTTAGATTGATCTCAACCATTGATACATTTTGATACATTTTTCAAAAACCCTCCTGTCTACTTAAGAAATTCCCCATTTCTCCTATTTGTTCATGCATTCTTCATATCCAAAATTATGTCTCAGATCATTGCATATCCAAAATAAATAAATAAAAAAACAATTATATTTTAAAACACATTTAATCAATACACACATGATTGCTCCCCAATATTATTCAGCATCAAACCAACAAACCTCATTTACATATATCTATACGGTTCACGAAAAAAGTAGTAGTTAAAGATTGTTACGTAGTTGTGTGAAGAGCTAATTCATCAAACACATCTCCGAACAAACCTATATAACAAAAAGGTATATTTTTGACACACACATACACACACACACACACATATACTTATTTATGTAAATCAACAAAAATCACCTGAGAGAGAGAGAGAGAGAGAGCACGATGTAGGTCCCCAAAGGCTCAAATGTCAAAGAAATGAAGCCCCTTTCCACAATTACCAGAAAATGGTTCGATGATCAAAGACTCTGTTCTTGTTAGGGTTTGCAGGAACAGTCCTCTGATAGAACAAACCAAAAGAAAGAAACACAATTACAAATAATTATCAAAACCACTAAAAAAGTAAAAGAGTAAATAAAACGAACATTAAAGCATAACATAGGTTTAGTAGGATTAGTGGTAAGGGCATTTTGTCAATTTCACCATTTGCTGGACATGAACTTAAAATTTTCATATTTTGTAATTTTCCTGTATCTATTCTTTGTATCTGATTTTAGTCTCTGTAGAATAAACTTCCCTTGTTTGAAACCTTGAAAGTGCATTATTATGGCAAATGTGTAACAATCATGATTAGTTTGAACTCTTATCAAATTTCAGTTTTTTTAGTTAATAATGACAGTGATAGCATATCAAAAAACAAAAAAATAAAAACATAAAAGTAAAGTTACTAATTTTAGAGATAACGCGTGCCAATGAGCAGGATGATGGAACACAGTATATTGTCACTGGAAAGAGCAAAGAAGGCATATGAGAAGAAGCAGAGGAAGCAAAAGCAACTTCAGATGGGGACTCCTATAAAATCTCCACCACCACGGCCACCCAGCAGACCCTAGAGTTCGAAAAAACAACAGCTGGTGTCGAAGAATAGCGAAGTAAAAGCCAAGAAAAGAATCGTGGATAGTGATGACGACGACGGTTTTATACTGAGCCCCAAGAGGAGAAAAGTGTAAAAAGGAAATGCCCTTTTTTTGCCCTTTTTGGTGGTGTATTTTTAGAGATTTGCTTTTAATTGAACCCTTCAAATTTAACTGTGATGAGGCAAGTGGCAGAAATCCATCAAACTGATGATATATTGAGACATTCTTTACATTGTCTGATGTTCAGAAATAATAAAAGGAAAAAAAAATCATAATTCTTGTTTATTTCTCGTTCATGTATCTATATCTGAGTTGATGATGTGCTAAATATATTCTTGCGGACTTAAGTAGCATATATAACCATGACAAAATACCCTAGAGTAGAGCAAGAATTACATTATACATAAATATAACTCTCTTATATAGTAAGAGGAAGTTAGATATGAGAGTTTGATATATATATATATATCCTTTTCGCATCTAGTAGCAGTACTAAAACACACACCATACTCATTTCAATAAGTTAATCTAGGTTTATAAAGTAGTTAATGAACTTACTTCATCACCTATGCAATTATCCATGGGTAGCCATATTAGGTTGGGTTTTGAGTTGAGAGTTATCAAATGGTTCAGATTAGTCCCTAGACGTGGACTGTAGGAAATCCTGGATAATAAGATGGAGAGATACAAAAAAAAAAAAAAAATTGACAGGAAGTAGAAGCATTAGATTACCCAGGAATCTAGTTGCGCGGTACTCGTGAATTACCCAATTAGTCCTCTGGCCATTCGGAGCACGACCCGCATAGAAAACCAAAGTCTTCTTCATGCCAATCACAGTGGTTCCCCTCAGAGACCTGATAGAACTATCCTTACCCGTGGCCTTCCAGTACCCAGCCATAGTCGCGCTTTTCAATCGATGCCCATTTTGATACTTGCGATCTTTATGACAGAAAAAGAACCACTCTTCATCATTCGTCTTTATCGCCGATTTATCTGCATAAAAATAGATCAAATCAAACCCAAAATTAGGGCTTTTAATTAAGTATATATCAATAATCAAAGCAAAAAACCCAAAATTTTAATTTTTTAATTTTTTATGTGGGTAGTTTTACCAGGCAAATCCCAGGGTTCGCATTTGCAAACATCGATTTCTCGAATAACACTGACTTGCTTCTCATCGCTGTTGATCTTCAACTTCAGATAGTGATTGATGAGTACTTCGTCGGTAGGGCGAAATCGGTACCTAACCGGAAGAGACTCCTCCAAGGGTTCGCATTTGCAGACATCGATCTCTCGAATAACACTGACTTGCTTCTCATCGCCGTTGATCTTCAACTTCAGATAGTGATTGATGAGTTCTTCGTCGGTAGGGCGAAGTCGGTACCCAACCGGAAGAGACTCCTCCGCCAAAATTTTAGAGAGAGACATCGCTAGAGAGAGAGAGAGAGAGAGAGAAAAGAAAGGGAAAGTGGGTATGGATCGAAATGAAGAAAAAACCTATAGAGGTAGCATAGGGAATGGATAAACAAATCGAAAGAGAAGATGTATGAGATTCAAAGAAAATTCAGTGGGGGTTTCAAAGACGTGGGGTTTGAATTGAAGAAGGAAGCAACGGAGAAAGTGAAAGAGATAGATATAGAGATTGACAGAAACCATCACAGATTCCTGGGCGGGAGATCTATTGATCTCAACCATTGACATAAATTTAAAATTAATCTCAGCCATTAAAATGTCTCTCTCATACATTTATATATTTTCAAAAACCCTCTTCTCTTATTATATAGATATATATATGAAATGAAATGGTTCAATTTGAGCTGTTTGGATGAGATTTTTTTTAAAAAATATATAATTTATTTAAAAAAGTTTTACAAAGGTCATCAAAGACCCCCCCAAAAAAAAAAAATCACTCAAAAAATTATATCCAAACACCACCTAAAAAATAGGAGGAAAAATTAGTTAGGATTGTGCCAAAAATGACATCGCACCATTGTAACATCATTGTTAAAATTTGACAATTTATTATTGTGGCATGCTAAATTACAGTTTTAGCAAAGTTATTTTGACATGTATAATTGGAGATGCTCTTAGTGGTAGTTATTTCCTACACCTATAAATTCTTCTCATGGCTAATGTAAAAAGATCCTTCAACCCATTGTGAAATTTAGAAGTAACAATAACAATTATCTAGGAGTAGTTCACGTAACTAGGAGTAGGACTTGGTTTGTAACTTTGTAACCTCTTGATCTTGCGATTCTTGGTGTTTGTTATTTGATTTTTGTAATTAAGTGATAAGTTTTAATTAATTATCAATCTCAGTTTGATTTTACCTTGTTTCTTCTCACTTTCAATTTTTAAATAAATCCTTGAATCTGTCAAGATAAGAAATACAACTACATTAATTGATTTTGTCTGTCGACTAAATCCTTTTGATTTTTTCTAAACTAAATTTTTACTAGGCCAAATTATATAAATAGTCCCTATAATTTGGGGCTTGTATCATTTTGGTCCCTGATTTTTCAATTGTGACACATTTGGTCCTGAATTTTAAATCTTGTTCCAAATAAGGATAATTGCAGATATAATTACATTTTTCAAGGGTAAAATTATCAATTTGATAAAAAAAAACTAATTTGACAAAAATAAATGTCAAACAAATATTTTTGATTTTTTAAAAATTATTTCTATCTACTAAAAATAAAATTATGTAAAATTGATAAATCTTTTAGATATTTATTTATTATTTTTACCAAATTAATTTTTATTATGTATTTGGATGATGATCATGTAAAATTAATTTTAAAAAATTAATCATGTAATTTTTATTAATTTTATATAATTTTATTATTGGTGGATAAAAATAATTTTTAAAAAATTAAAAATATTTTTTTGACATTTATCATTGTCAAATTAATTTATATTTTATCAAATTAAGGATTTTACTCTTGAAAAATCTAATGATATTTTCAATTGTCCTTATTTGAAACAAGATTTCAAATTTATGATCAAATGTATCACAATTAAAAAATCAAGGACCAAAGTGACGCAAGCCCCAAACTATAGGGACTATTAGTGTAATTAACTTTTTTTACTAATAGTCTCTAAGCACTTAGAATAGAGAGCTGATGTAGGTATATAGAGAGTCATTTATCCTTTCAGAACTGCTAGAGACCCCCAGCTGGGGCACCCCCAGCACCCCCAGCTCATTTTCATTGGCCAATTTCCTTTTTTTTTTTTTTCTTTCTTTCCTTCCAATCACCCAGTGCCACGTGGCACTGGGGGTCACTGGGGGTCGGTTTTGCTGGGGGTCTGCCGCATTTTTCTTATCCTTTAAACTAGATAAGGAAGAGGTTTAAGAGTTTCGGCGAGGATGCTTTAAGACTTTTTTGTTGGCTTAAATAGATTTTTTTTTTATTATTTATATTTTTTGGTTAGTATAATCAGTAGAACTTAAAAGTATAAATTAAAAAAAAAAAAACCAACTATAATCAGAAAAAAAAGTAGCACTATTTCAATTTCAGGAATTTATTCTTGGGACTGGGTCAGTGACTCAGTGGGCTACTGAATTGGTTTTGGCATTCAAACATGATGCTCTAATATTCTTGTTAGGGTTGTCACCACAAGATATTTGTCAGGGCCCTATTTCAAGAACATATTCTTTTCTCTTTTTTTAGGTGCTTATTCAAGAACATGGATTTCGCTAGAGTGAATCAAGTGGCACCAGAGTAATTTATACTCACGTCCTTAAAGTTCAGAAAAAAAATATAATAATAATTTTGATATAATTATATTGAATTTCTTTAAAATTATAGGTTATATAACACTTAACTCCATTTTTATTATTAATTTATTAGTTATATAGATTAAAAAAATAATATTTTTATTATAGATTAAAAAAAATAATATTTTTATATATTTTATACGAAAATGTATACTTTATGTTATTTATTTTTGTGCTTTTTTCACCATTTATATTAGTTTGAATTCATTTAACCGTATTAAAAGAGAAATAAGTGTAATTATATCAAGGGACATTTACACACAAGTTCTAACTAAGATTTTTTGGACCTTCAAGTCCTATTAAATTTTTAATAGTCGAAATTATCCTTCAAACAATGATTGTTCATCATTTATGATTATCTAGAAAACATGATAATTTGACATTTATTTTGATTTTCAAAGCTTTAAAACATCAACTTTTAAATTGAAAAAACTTAAAAAAAATTATGTGCAAAAAAAAAAGAAAAGTGTTTTTTTTGAAAAAATTGAAAAAACAGAATTATTATTTTTTCTACAAAGCTGAAAATTTTATGTTTATAAAGGATCATGATGATGGAATATTGATGTGCGAAACATAAAAAATAAAAAAAAAACTGATAATGTTCTCATTTTTAAAACTGGAAAAAAATTAATAATGTTATCGATTTTATTAGATAGTTGAATCAAATTAATAAGTAGAAAAACAAAAATGTTTAATTTCATATTTTGTTCTTTTTTAATCAACTAGTGAAATAATTATCTAGAACATTACTATGCAAAATTAATAATATTCTTAATTTTAAAAATTAAAAAAAAAAACTAATAATATTATTTATTTTACTAAATAAGACTTATTAATTTAAAAAATCTTAGATAAAATTTAAATTACCATAACATTTATAAATAAAATTTTTAAGTAATTAACTCTTAAATTTATTGTGGTAAGTTCTAACATCCTAATTTTTGCCATGATATTTTTCTACTAATGTTCTATTTTTTCCATAACAAAAACTATTAGTCAATAATATAAATCAACCGCTTGAATATAAAATTAAAGTAAAATAACATCAAAATTCAAACCCTAAAACAGTATCATTTTTTTTTTTTTTAAACTTTTCGAATCATTTCTAAATTTCATTTGTTAAATGATTTGCAATTTAGGGATTTTGTAAAAACAAAAAAAAAAGGCAGTATATCAAGAATTAATACTGACATGCGTGTGGGACACCGCATCACATAGGATTCACATCTAATTAAGTATTGTGTAATTTTTTTTTTGGATCTTTAACATTTTTCATCTTCAACCGGACTATTTAATATATTTTATAGAATTGTTTATAATTTATTTATTTATTTATTTTGAATGATTGTCTCAGTATATTCAGTGTAGTTTCTTTTGGTAGCTTATGAAGTAAAATTAATTTAAATAAGTAAAAATAAAAATAATTATATAAAAATTGAAGGAGAAATTCTTTAAACTTTTACTTCTTATTATTAACTTTTAACTCTGAGAACAATTATATCAAATAGACCCAGCGTGCTGGCATGTGTATTGTTAAATTGGTAATTAACGAGAACAATTATATCAAAGAGACCTAGTGTGCTGGCATGTGTATTGTTAAATTGGTAGTTAATGATACGAACCCAAGCCCTTGTGGGTAATTTTTTTTTATAAAAAATATTTTCTTATGTTTGATACCGTCATTAAAATTAATATGTAATGTACTAATAATCATATTAGTGGTGATCTGGTGGTGGTGTTGGGGTTTTTATTGTTGTAGGTGGTGGTGGGTTGGTGGAAGTGATGGTAGTATTGGAGTGAGTGATGATGCTAGTGGGTTGGTAATGGTGGCAACGGCGATAGTGGGGTAGAGGTGGAGATGGTGGTAGTGACGGTAGCAATGATAACAGTGGTGAAAGTAGTGATAGTATGGAGAAATTATTCAATACTCCTGGAGTCAGTCTAGATGGTGCTCCAAATGAGTTGTTATTGTTGGAATTTATGATTTTTATAAGTTTATTTTGGGCCAAAAATTGAGTAAGTCCCACACGTCTTTTGGGGTGGGTCTAAAAAGGTAATGTGTTCCTTGTCATATGGCAAGTCACACGGTGAAGACGGTTCGTCAAAACCATTTATGAGTAAATGGAAAGTTGATGTCGTTTTCGGGTTCGTGGACTAGGGAATTGAAGAAGTAAAATGTGGATTTTCTTGAAATGGTTTTCCCACATTGGAAACTTAAGAGAACTTATGTGTGTATATAAGTTCTAGGTGACAACACTTGGTTGGGCTCTTTGGCTCAAACCATCACATATGCGCGCCGCCGCTGTCCGTTCGTCCGGGCAGATTTGTTGAAATTTGAACTGCACCTATTCATTCGGTCCTATAAATACCAAGGCATTCTAGCATATTTTAATATTCCGAAAATCTGTTTTTTTCTCTTCCTTTGTGCTCTTTTGTATATATATTCTACATATTATTTTAGGAAACACACCTGTTCGGTCCTATAAATACCAAGGCATTCTAGCATATTTTAATATTCCGAAAATCTGTTTTCTTCTCTTCCTTTGTGCTCTTTTGCATATATATTCTACATATTATTTTAGAAAAATTTCTGAGAGTATAGAACACAGGTTTTTGTTCGTCGTACAAATTGCTTAGAGTGCTATTA